ACTTTTGCGTCCGTAAAGGCAGTGAGCCATCGGTGTTTGGCGCAGACTTAAAAAGAAAACACAAAAATCCTCATTTTGTTGTTTTTAATCGCGATTCTACGAAAACATCGGTGTCCGTTTTTGGTTTTAACATTTATAACAGAGTACTAGATTTACCGCTTTTTGGCAGGTGATAGTCATAGTGCTGATTCAGTAATAAATACGAATGTCTCCTAAAGTCATTAATGAATTCATTTAAACCTAGAAAATGTTATGAACAAGAGGCCCACGGGCCTTATAGGTCACCTGAGTATTGTATAACAACTTTCAAACAATTAAATTTGGTTCATGTTTTAAACCAGAGGCCATGAAATTCACAATTCACAATTTTGAAAGAGGCACCATTGCTTATCATAATTAAAAATACTCTACTTACTCAATACCTAGAGGTAGATCAGAGTTACAAAGAGAAAATGTTCTTCCACTTTATAACCAGTTGTGCACCTCACCCCAAAAGAACCACTGAACCTGGGGCCACATATTTCAAAATTTTGCAAATTTTATCATAAAATGGTTGATTAATACCAAAGAGCAGGTTTCAAAGCATTAATTTATTTTCAGACTATGTAACCCCCCCCCCCCTTTAGGGCATAAAAATAACAATTTTGCTAGATGCACCTTTCTTCATCATAAATATGTATACTTGGATAATTGGCATAAAATTCATAATTTTGGAAAAGGCACTCTTGCTCATCATAACTATGTGCTTAGTTTGTTTATTTATTACCCAGAAGCAGAGAAGAAGATTTTCAAAGAATAAATGCATTTTCACTATATAATCCACAGAGCCCCGCCCTAACACCAGAACCCCTGACCCTGGGGCCAAAAAAAACACAAATCTGGAAGAGGCACTCTTGCTCATCATAACTATGTACTTAGTTTGTTTATTTAATACCCAGAAGCAGAGAAGAAGATTTTCAAAGAATAAATGCATTTTAACTATATAATCTATATAGCCCCGCCCTAGCACTAGAACCCCTGACCCTGGGGCCATAAAATTCACAAATCTGGAAGAGGCACTCTTTCTCATCATAACTATGTACTTAGTTAGTTTATTTAATACCCAGAAGCAGAGAAGAAGATTTTCAAAGAATAAATGCATTTTCACTTAATAATCTATAGAGCCCCGTCCTAACACCAGAACCCCTGACCCTGGGGCCATAAAATTCAAAAATCTGGAAGAGGCACTCTTGCTCATCATAACTATGTACTAAGTTAGTTTATTTAATACTCAGAAGCAGAGAAGAAGATTTTCAAAGAATAAATGCATTTTCACTATATAATCTATAGAGCCCCGCCCTAACACCAGAACCCCTGACCCTGGGGCCAAAAAATTCACAAATCTGGAAGAGGCACTCTTGCTCATCATAACTATGTACTTAGTTAGTTTATTTAATACCCAGGAGCAGAGAAGAAGATTTTCAAAGAAATAATGCATTTTCACTATATAATCTATATAGCCCCGCCCTAGCACTAGAACCCCTGACCTCAGGGCCATGAATTTCACAATTTTGGTAGAGGACTCAATGCTCATTACATTAATGCTAACAGTTTGCCTGCTTGATGTCCAGGAGTAAAGAAGATTTTTAAAGATTGCACTAATTTTAGTAGTTTTGGCCCCACCCCTCAGGCCCCAGGGGGGTGGGGACCATGAAATTCACAATTTTTGTTCCCCTTCACCCATAGATGCTGTATACCAAATTTGGTTGAAATTGGTTTAGTGGTTTCAGAGAAGAAGCTGAAAATGTTCAAATGTTAACACACGACGCACGACACACGACGCACGACGACGGACGAAAACAGATAGCAATAGGTCACCTGAGTTACTCAGGTGACCTAAAAATTGGAATAAATTCTGTGCAACAATAAAAGAAAATCACTAAAAATCCTAAATCCGGGACCGTCGGGAGTCGATAAGACTAGATTTACAGCTTGCCATTAAATTCGCCACTGGTGTTTGAACTTCTCTCGGTTTTGCATTTGACCATTTCTCTTAGACGAATTCGATCGCCAATAGTAGTAATTCCATAACTGCTCAACTGTTCATTGCTCAAGCTTAAAATATCAACATCTCTTCTCTCTTCTACAAATCTATCGATAACCTGTGAACCCATCATTAGTTCCTCGAGGACGCTTTTCAATGTGATCGCGTTTTCACAATTTTTTTTTCCCTTAAACTAGTTTACTTGTTAACGATATCCCGATCCCGATGTTATACCTATTTAAAAATTATCTTCATATAATGTTGAAGTATCATCATATAATGACAAAGTACCAGCATATAATGACAAAGTAGTAGCATATAATGACAAAGTACCAGCATATAATGAAAAGTAGTAGCATATAATGACAAAGTAGTAGCATATAATGACAAAGTAGTAGCATATAATGACAAAGTACCAGCATATAATGAAAAGTAGTAGCATATAATGACAAAGTACCATCATATAATGACAAAATACCATCATATAATGACAAAATACCATCATATAATGATAAAATACCATCATATAATGACAAAATACCATCATATAATGACAAATTACCATCATATAATGATAAAATACCATCATATAATGACAAAGTAACAGCATATAATGACAAAATACCATCATATAATGACAAAATACAATTATATAATGACAAAATACCATCATATAATGACAAAGTACTAGCATATAATGAAAGTTCTCCACATAAGGCAGTGACGGCGTTCCATAAAAATTGATTTATTGTTTTAAAACATACTCAGTGATTGAAATCTAATGGACTAAAAAAATCACACAATTACACAGTACTTTAATCAAAAATTTAAAGGTATGAAATTCATTATACCCCCGCTTGAAAAGTGGGAGGGTATACCGTAATCGGTTTGTCAGTCTGTCTGTACGTCTGTCCGTCCGTCTGTCTGTTGCGCTTTGGGGTACCCATCTCTTATCAGCAACTCCTCGTATACCACTGAGTGAAATTTGATGAAACTTTCACAGAATCTTTATTACATACATGCATTGCCATTGAACACCTCCTATGTTACTTTTTGATCCGACACATATTTTGGGTTTCCCGGCCACAGCAAAACATGCGACTTTGCCATTTTACTCATAAGGGAGGCGGGGGGTATCATTTAGTGAGCTCTTTGCTCACAGTACCTCTAGTTATATTAATATATTTCAATTTGTATTACATTATGAGTATAATTCTGGAAACATTTTACTAAGTAAAATTTAAATCCTACCTGAAATTAAAACTTTGCAACAGGAAGCAATAGATAGAATTATGTACTTTAGTGTAGTCTACTCGTGTGTCAGTTTATACTGAAATCAATCAAAAGTTGTAGCAATATCAGCAATTTAAAAGTATTTCTAAGAAATTTCTATTTTAGTAACAATTATGGTACACCGTTCATTGATATCAAAACCCGATGCACTAAATTATGCATCTTAGTGAAGTCTACTTGCTGAAATCAGACCAAAACTAGGAGGAGCAGCGATTTAAATGAATTTAAAAATAGTTAATAATTGCTGTTCAATATAGAAATAAATTTTACCTCTTCTTTCTTTGTTTTCTTTTTCAATAGAGGCCTTTTCCAGTTCCCTTGCTTTGCGTTTTCTTATAAAAGCGGTTAATTTCCTGAAATAAATTAAGAATAACTGAAATAAGTTTGCAAGCTTTAATTATTCGCAAAGAAAATCACTAGCTTGAATACAGGAACCACCCCTTTTCCCTCCCAATCGTATATCAATTGGCTATGTCAAGATTTTTTTGTCATTAATAATCTTCGATTGTGTACATGTTTTTGGAGTTAATTCATATTTTCCTACATCAAACATTGAATAACTGATTGAATAGCAGTTTTAAGACTACATATTTTATTCTAACATTTTAAATCTATAAATGAATTTTTTCTTTAAAAATCTGCCCTAAACTATATTTATGCATTTTCAATGTTAATAAGAAAAAAATTGTGACTTACCCTCTAGGCGACTTTGCAATTGCCTGATTTTTTTTTTTTTTTTGCATCTTTCTCATCTTCTTTGTCACCAGCTTTATCTTTTCCATCTTCTTTGTCACCAACTTTATTTTTCCCATCTGTTTTATCACAAACTTTATCGTTTCGTTCTGTTTTATCACCACCTTGATTTTTTTCTATCTTCTTTGATCAGCAACTCTATCTTCTCCATCCGCTTTGTCATCAACTTCATCTTTTCCATCTTCTTTGTCGCCAACTTTTATCTTTTGTAGTAGAATATTTCTTATTGCCATACCCTTGTACTGTTTTAAGTTACCATAGCAACACTGTTCACCAAAATGAAAAAAAAACCATGCACTTAATTATGTAACCTAATTTAGTTTACACGTGTGCGAAGTTATATTGAAATCAAACACAATCTGTAGGAGGAGTAGCTTTTTAAAGGAATTTCTAAGAAAATTATTTCGAATTCTTGGCAACACCGTTCATCGAAATCAAAAACCACTTAATTATGTATCTTAGGGTAGTCTAGTAGTGCGCCAAGTTTTATTGAAATCAGTTCAAAATTGTAGGAGGAGTAGCATTTTAAAGGAATTTCCAAGAAACTTCAATTTTTAATAACCATGACAACACCGTTCATCGAAATCAAAAACCGATGCACTTAATTATGTATCTTACTGTAGTTTACTTGTGTTATATTGAAATCAGACCAAAACTGGGGGAGGAGTCACTTTTTGAAAAATTGTTTACAAATAGACGGACTGGCGACGGATTCCTTACTATCGCATCTTTTAGGCTCTTCTGGTTCATGACCAGTAGAGCTAAAAATGACTTTTGGTAGGTTACTTTAAACAAATATCTTTTTAAGCATATTAACAAAGGAAAAATTTATATTGTTTATACATTTACCTTCTGTAATAAAAGATGCTTGTTTCTTTTTACATGTAATTATCTGAAAAGCTTTTGCCCAAGAATTATCTTATCTTTGCAGCTCCAGGTATGACCTAACATCGCTTTAACGAGAAAATAACACACTGGAAAGTACACGTGTTGGAAAAGGAGAGAAAACCATTTAAATTTATAGCGTTTATAAGCAATAAACCAAAAATGTAACATTTTTGTATTTTATTATTCTGTAAGCCACAATTCGAAACGAAAAGCTTGATAGGCATGGACCTATCATGGAACCTCGATAGGATCAAATCGTGCGAACAGTGACAGTTATCCAGACACTCAATCGCCAGTATATAAAAAAAGTGTGTTAAAATGGACCAGTTTCCTCCACGTAGGCCATACAGCAAGTAATGAAACAAATTTCTGTCTGTCGGTCCACTTAGTTTCCGTTCATTTTCTTCAAAACCGTTGCACGTACTAAAATGAAATTTGGTAAACAGATATATTAGATGAATATCTAGATCAAGTTCTGTTTTGGGTATGGTAGGGCCAGTTTTGATAGAGTTATGCCCCTTGGACTTAGAAAAATTCTAATTATTTGCAGTGTACGTTTATTTTCTTCGCAGAGGTTGCACAGATTGAAATGAAATTAAGTATACAGATATATCAGATGAACATCTAGGTCAACTTCTGTTTTGGGTACGTCGCTCCATTTTTAACAGAGTTATGCCCTTTGGACTTTGAAAAATTCCAATTTGGGGGGTGGTAGACATAAGTGTTTTACAAACATCTCTTGTTGTCATCAAATGTATGTTTTGTAAGTAGACCGAATTTACCGATTTAATTTCTTCCTATGAAATGAGTTTGGCTAAAACATATGGCACTGACAATGGATTTGCAAATATACCTGGATTTTCTATATTAGAAAAAAAATGTTAATTATTTAAAGTCAAGTGGCACTGCTCTATTAATAAGAGACTCCATTGTCAAATACATATTAGAAATATTTACATTTCCGATTCTTTTCTCTTATAACTCTATTTAATTTCTAGATAATTACACCTGAATGTAAATTTCGCCAAGTGAAATTTCAGGGGCATTATATCCATGTCTGTCTCGTGCGGCTGTCTTTGACAATCTATCAGTGGTTGGGACCTATTGAAATAAACATTGGAGGTCTCGATGGGTTTTGTGTATTTAAAATATACTAGAAACATTTCCCCTCGTGCAACTAGTTGCGGAGGGGATAAAGCATCTCAACTGTGCGTATATGTGTGTGTTAGACTAGTGGTGTCCGTTGCTTGTGGGCAAGATTTAAAGAGAACCTTTAGACTATCAATTTTCAGCTTCCACATACTTATGTGGCATTGTAAAAGAACAAACTCTATTCATTATTTCATTACTCGATGAATTATTTCTTAAAAAATACCTTCAAACCCCGAAAATTTATGTACGACTTGACAATACTCACTTTCGCTTAATCAACCAAAGGCCTGTTCAACAGTGCGAGCGCTCGAGAACAATTCAATGACTAATAAGGAATTTTTGCGCGCGAACGTTCTCACTGTTGTACAGGCCACTGGAAAAATCGGGAAGCTTCGATGGACTCGCTTTAGCAAGTTCTATTTTCAGTTTGTGTATAGTCATATTATTGTGTTTAAGGGTGTGTAATATGGACAGACATACGGAAGAAGAGGAAGTCAACATCGGATTTCAACAAAGAATCCCACCATATGGTATGCCTCAACAAAGTTTGTGCTAAAATTTCAAGCATCTGCAATGAGTTGTTGCTGAAAAAACTAACGAAAATTTTTAAGTATTGTACTGAAAAATGCACGGATGAACAGGAAGTTGACATAGGATATAAATAAAAATAAATCCCACAATATGGCATGCCTCAACAAAGAATGTGCTTAAATTTCAATCACCTCTGATGAGTAGCTGCTGAGAAAACTGTGACGAAAATTTGTTATGTGTGGTTCTAACAGACGGACGGATAAACAGGAAGCTGAAATCGGTTTTGAACAAAAATGGATCCCACCATATGACATGCCTCAGCAAAGAGTATGTTAAAATTTCAAGCATCTTGGTTGAGTAGTTGCTGAGAAACCTACGAACCAAAATTTGTTACGGACAGACAAACAGACGGAAAGACATACGAGGGTAAAACAGTATTACCCCCTCTCCTTCGGAGCGGGGGTATAAAAATGAAAAGGTGTCCAAGGGAAACGCATTGACTTGAGAAAAAATGAGAATTTATACGAAGTTTTATATATAATATGAAAGTTTTTGATACAGTGTAAGGAGAATTTTTCACTCACATAGAGACATCAGCACTTGCCGGTGGCTAGCTGCAATTTTTTTTTAATCTATGCTCGGTACTCAGGGCCATAGGTTGTTCAGGTCTGACATGCCTCATTTCTTCTTTTAAATTTAAACTTTCAATACGGTACCGATTTCTCCTCATGATCCAAGCCAAAATGCCAGGTGAGCAATGTCACCCTGGGCCTCTAGTTGCAATTCATTTGTATTTGAATCAGAACAAAAAATTATTTCAATTAAGAAAAAAGGCAACATACTCATTATCTAAATTAACCAAGGGAATTTTATCGGAATATGTATTACTACACTTAAAAAAAATAGGATGTGAATTGAAGAATTATTATATTAGATCTGAATATGCGTTTCTTCTTCTGTTTGTTGTTTAGTATATGTAGTGGATTTAAATTGAAGTTTATGTCATATAAAATGGTGGGGCGAGATGACATTTTACTGTTTTAAGAAGTATAAATCATGTGACTCTGTCAATCATCTGTACATTTAAAACGCAATAATTAACGATTTGATATCTGCTGTAGATACACTACAGTCATTTTTTATCCCGTAGACAACATGAAAACACTCTACTTCGTTATTTTTGCCTTGTTTCAACTTGGCCAAATTTTCCCCACTTCATCATTTTATCTACCTGGAAATGCCTACTTTCAGAATATACCTCAACAAGGTAGGTATATATTTTTTGAATATATGAGTTATATATATATATATATTTTTTTATATATATATATCTTCTATTCTCAATGACCGTGTAGTGTAGGACAGCGCCGCGAGAAAGTAGCGGTAGCGCGCTGTTCCTTCTTTGAAAAAACATTAATATTTGCAAATTTCCTTATAGTTTTGGTATCTTGGTACAGTATATAAATATATATATATAAAAATAGGACTTTGTTACTAAAAAGAAGTTTTTCTCCATATATTAATATATAGTGAAAAAACAATAGCAAATTTTCATGTACATAAATATATATATAAAAATCCTAGTTTTTTCAGAAATGTGCTTATGATTAACTCGCTTTTTCTCGTCAAAGATTTATTAAGTAGGATAGTTGTTCCAAAGACATTGTCTGTGAAGCATTAGCTACCAAATTTACAATGTACATATACATTTTATTTATAAAGCCACACACTAACAATATTAAGTCTATTAGCAATTGTTAAATTGTTTATTATTATCATGTATAAGTGTATTTTCAATCTTAGTCATAAAGCGTTTACTAACTTAATTCACTAAGATAATTTTAAATCATATTTCCCTCTGCATTAAAAAAGATGCATTTCACAAAAATTTGGATGACTGTGCAAGAATTTTTCTTGTGTTTATTGCCAAACCACAATCAAGAAAATCATTAAGTCTCAATCTCTTAAACTGTTACTTTGTAGGTTTTGCACCCTCACGATTCCCCTATTATGATATATTTTGTGCCTACTGCCACATAATTTCTCCCCAGTATTGCCACAGATTCTGCACTGGAAGGTACTCTTTTCCCGAGACGACGCCTGGATATGCTCCATTTCCAGCCCAGTACGACTCATTCGCATTCAAACGCCGTGCATACTAATGATCAATCATTTATTAATATGTTAAATAAATATCATTAAACTAAATAAATGATCTGAATTTGCTGTGTTCTTTCGTCATCTTTTTTTCTCACTACATGTAGTACAGGGATAATTATCTTGGAAATCCATTATAGAAAAATTTTAGGTAAAAAAATATTCAGTCTATATCTCAGCTATATCTTAAAAATCTAAATGCTAAAAAATATAATTAAAAAATAAAGATCTAATCTTATTACAAATACTAAGTAGCAGTAATATATTTCAATTTATACTTTTAATTTTAAAGAATTATTCACTGTATGTTGAATTTGCGGCGTTTCTATTTCCACGAATATTAACTCCGCGATTTAATTTACTACTGTATAGTGCAGATTACGATCCGTACTCAAAAATCTACTCAAACAGTACACTTCAGGGGCGGATCAAACATGGACCTCTACATAGAAGAGGTGGGATTAGATGCCATGAAGTAGTAGGCATCCCCTATCGACCGATCACAGTCCTCGAATGCCCCATGTCATAATCGGGAAAATGGAGAGAAAAATATCCATAGACATTCAATAGTGTAAGAAATGGCCTAACAATAGATAGATATGGAAATCGTCAGACTGCTTGTTGCTCATAATGATAGATTAATTTTGCTGATAAGGTCATCGCATAGACAAAAAACTTGCAAATGAAATATATGGAGATAACAAACAGTATTAAAGCTCAAAAGTCCATCAAGCAATACACATCAAAAGGCGAGCAAACACGGACCTCTAAAACATCAGAGATGGCATCAGAGGGGTGGAGTGAGCATCCCTGCTGTCCTCTTACACCCGTCTTGTGCTTCTTGTCATGATCGGGAAATAACGAAAAATTCTGCCCACAATTCAGATTGTAAAAATGGCTTAACAAATAGTGTGAAAAACGTCAGTTCAGCAATTGACTTGATAGAGATTATAGATTGTATTTGCTGACAAGGTCATATGTATCAACAATAGAACTATTGAGATGACTTTTAAAGAGGACTGCAGATATTCTTTCTTCACCAATTTGTTTGTCAATAACATACCGCGTATTAGAATGTTTGATACGTAGAGTATACTCTTGCGTTCGAATCAACTTACGGACATAAATTGTGAATTTAAAAAAGTTAAGTGGGTATCTAATTTTTTATAAAATTAGTTAGGTGTCAAAAATTATGCATTATTTCTTTGAGCATAATTCTCATGATTACAAGTAATAGTTTACATGTGCCCCATCATTATTTATTGAATAGCTATAAAAGATTGATTGAACCTTTGATTTATTTACATTCTTAATTTTCCTTTTCC